ATGCTTGGAAAGGTGAAGAGTCAGTGAACAGGAGGAAGGCCCTCGATGAGATGTGAGACAATACCTATGTCAATGGATACAAATGTGCTGAGGATGACCAAGAAGGCTCAGGATAGGACAGGGTTCAGAGTTATTGTTCATAGGGTTGCTGTGAGTCATAATCAATTTGATGGTACTTAACAACAACAACAACTATTATTGTTAGAAAACCAAAAGAGAAGTGCATGCACAGCATTTCTCAAGCTGAAAGATTGAAGAACAAATTGCCTCAAGGCAAAATCTTGGATGATTCACGAAGCGTCAAAAGAAAATGGAAGTAATACATAGAGTCACTGTACCAAAAAGATTTTGCTGGCACCGAACATTTCACAAAGTAGCATATGATAAAGAACCAGATCTGTGGGACGAAAAGTCTAAGCTGCACTTAAGGTGTTGACAAAAAATAAGAACTGATGGAATACCAGCTGAGGGGCTTCAGGATACAGATGCAACCTTAGACATGCTCACCAGTCTCTGCTGACAAATATGGAAGAAAACTACACGGTTAATTGACTGCAAGAGATCTATATTTGTTCTTAGTCTCAAAAAAGGTGATCCAACAAACTGTGAAAATTATTGCTCAATATCATTAATATCCCATGCAAGTAAAATCTTTCTGAAAATTATTTTTTAAAAAGCCAGTGCGTTGGCTTACCCTGAAACCAGAAATTCAAATTGAATTCAGAAGATGGCACAATCTTGGCTATAAGCAGAGAATACTAGAAAGATATTTACTTGGGCTTTATTGATAATGCAAAAGCATTTGACTGTAAGGATCATAACAAATTGTGTCTAATATTGAAAAGAATCAGAATTCTAGAACATTTGATTGTGTTCATGAAAAACCTAGACATAGACGAAGAAAGAATTGTTTCTTTTTCCAAGCAGAACAAGGGAACACTGCATAGTTTAAAATTAGGAAAGGTGTGGGTCAGGTTTCTCCATACCTATTCAATGTGTATGCGGAGCAAATCATTCAAGAAATTGGACTCTATGAAGAAGAACATGACATCAGTTTGGAGAAAGACTAATCACAACCTGCATTATACAGGTGACAAAACCTTGCTTGCAGAAAGTGAAAGGGAAAATGTTCTGTCAAGGACCTCTCAAAAATGCTCAAGAGCAAGGATGCCGGTTTAAAGACTGAGGTGCACCTGATGCACGCCATGATCTTTCCATTTGTTTCCTATACATCTGATAGTTCGACAACAAATCAGGATGAGAAAAGAATAATTAAGAAGTATAGTGTTGTCAAAGAGTATTGAATATCCAAATTGAATATGCCAAAAGAACAAACAGATCTGTTTTGAAGAAAAGATAACCCGATTGCTCCTTAGAGACAAGGATAGTAAGATTTCCTCTTACTTTAGGCCTATTGTCAGGAGAAAATAGGCCTTGGAGAGAGACAGCATCTGGGTAGAGAGTCAGAGAGAGAGGAAGACCCTTAAGAAGATGGTTTGACACAGTGGCTACCACAATGGACTTGAACATGACAGAGACTGTGAGGATGGCACAGAACACGGCAGGGCAAGGTTCAGAGCTACAGTCAACTCGACGGCACTTATTCCTGTGGAGATGGCTATTTCTCTCTTCAAATCTATTCACGTTTGATTGATGTGTCTGTGATCCTGTGATTGGGTGGATAGCTCTTACTTATAGTCCTCTTGTTTTCTTGATCCTTTGATCATTTTATAAGGCCCTTCTTTGTCTCTTATGCTGATTTTTTGCCTTGAAGTTTAATTTATCAGAAATTATTATTATTATTATTATTATTACTATTATTATTATTATTACTACTCCTACTACTACCTCTCTTGCTCGGGTTTGTATTATTTGCTCGATCATTTGCCCAGCCTCTGATTTTTAGCCTGGCTTTGCCTTGTGAGGCGTGGCTCTCACAGACAGCTCTGTGGTGGGTCCTGTTCCTCTGTGCTGCTCTTTCTGTCTTGACTGGGACACTTCATCCATTCCCAGTCAGTATGACGATCAATAGGTGGGTTTAGTGCTGTCATTTTGCTCTTTTTCAAAGTGTTGCAGACTTTTCAGTTGCATCTGCCTTTCTGTGTTGAGTTCCTGGATTGATGGCTTGTCTTACCTTATTGCTCTTTTTTTAATATTTGCTAAGTCTATGGGTTTCCTCTTTTTTATTTTAATGAGAAAGTTTGTGAATTTTCTTGGAGGCTCTTTATAAATCACCATTTTATTCACAACCCTAAAGTTGTTTCTTTTCACTTCCTCTCTAACTAGAATCGCTTTACAAATAGAAGCAAATTTCTTGACGAGTGAGCTCCCTGACTTGCAAAGATTCAGTGGTGCGTGACTTCTGTTCTGTGATGAAACAATCGCTTTCCAAGTCCCCCGAGGACTGAAATCCACCCAGGATCAGCTCCTCTGGCATCACTGTGGAGTCTGTCCCAGGTGGTTCCTGGAGATCTGTCCTCATTCCTGTTTTGCAGGAAACGCCACCTCCGTTTTCCACCCTGGAGCGAGCTGCAACGTGTCCTATGAGGAGAGCCGTGTGTTCCTGGTGTCGGTGTACAGCTCTGTGTGCGCGCTGGGCATCCCAGCCAACTTCCTGACGGCGTGGCTGACGCTGCTGCAGGCGCTGCAAGGCAACGTGCTGGCCGTGTACCTCTTCTGCTTGGCGCTGTGCGAGCTGCTCTATGCCAGCACTCTCCCGCTCTGGATCCTCTACATCCAGAACCAGCACCACTGGGTGCTGGGCCCGCGGGCGTGCAAGGTCACCGCCTACATCTTCTTCTGCAACATCTACGTCAGCATCCTCTTCCTCTGCTGCATCTCGCTTGACCGGCTCTGTGCGGTGGCCTACGCCCTGGAGAGCCGAGGATGCCGCCGCCAGAAGACGGCCATCTACACCTCCGTGTGCGTCTTCCTGCTCGTGGGGCTGGTCCACGTGCCTGTGTTTTACATGAAGGAGGAGCGGACCTGCTTTGAGGAGCTGCCCACCCGCACCATCAGCGTGTATTACTACCTGCGCTTTGTCTTTGGCTTCGCACTTCCTCTCGTCTTCATCGCCTTCAACACCCAGCTCATGCTCCGGAGCATCCGGCGCAGCATGGGCCTGAGCGAAGCGCGCAAGGCCAAGGTGAAGCGCTTCTCAGTGGCCATCGTCCTCATCTTCCTGGTCTGCTTCGCCCCCTACCACGTGGTGCTCTTCATCAAAGCCTTGGCCGTCTCCCTCTATGGAGCGGATGTGGATGCTGTGTGCACCGTGGAGAGAAGCCTGTACACGGCCTCAGTGGTGTTCCTCGGCTTGGCCACGGTCAACAGCGTGGCCGACCCCATCATCTACATGCTGGCCACTGAGCATTCCAGGCAGAAAGTGTCCCAAATCCACAGGGAGTGGAGAGCCTGGGCCACCAGGGCCGACCACACCAGGCTCACCAGCTCCAAGGACATGGGGACCCCCATGTCCCCCAGTGACCTCGCCAGCTGCCAAGTGTTTCCCAGCCTTGACAATCTGCCAGGGAGCCCTGGTGGCACAGTGGTTAGAGAGCTTGGCTGCTAACCAAAAGTTCAGCAATTCAAACTTGCAAGCCATCTCCCAGGACAGAGATGAGGCGCTCGGCTCTCGTCAAGTTTCCACCCTTGGAAACTGTGTTGGGCGTTTCCACACTGACTGGCTCACTCCAAGTCCGGGCTTGACAGCAGTGAGTTGGGGGCCCATTTTCTGTGGCTTCCACTGGCACCTGGGACTCCCCATGCACCTCAGAGTGGCTGAGTGAAGAGTCCTGTGCAGAGTGTGGAGGGAGCAGCTGACAGAGTTCCCCTGCCTCCAGGTCCAGCTATACGGCACCTATGGTGCTGACCAGGGAGATTATTCTAGAAGGCCTACCACTGGCTTCTTGTTCTGTAGCTGTTCCCTCGGGGAGCCTCTGCCCCTGGAGACCCCCACCCTCCAGGTATCCCCTAGTCAAGCCCAAGGCACAGAGGCCCACAGTAAAGTTAGGAGTTAACTGGCTGTTAAATGATCTGGGGCAGAAGTGCAGGAAAGGGGTGTTGGTCAAAGGTCAAGTTAAAACCTAAAGCAACTTGTAGCTGAGAGTACAGCCTGAGCCCTTGGAATTCAAAGGCTCCAGCAGAGGGCAAGGGTCAGTCTTCAGCCAATCAGTGCCAAAAGACCTTATGTCAACTTCTAAAGAAGCCTCCAGCAGAGGCCAGAGGCCAGTCCTCAATCAATCAGAGCCAAGCGATGTACAGGTGGCAGTATAAGGAAGACGCCAGGGCTTCAGAAAGCTGACCCTGGCAGGAAAGCAGCAGTGAGGCTCAGTGACTCCACTAACAGAGGACCAGAGTGGGAACCTCTAGAAACATCACCCCATTGGTCCAGACACTGCTGTTCTTCATTTGCATAAAACGTGCTGTAGGTGGCTTTCTATATAAGGTGGCCTAGTGGTAAGAAGCAGTACTGCAATCCCAAAGGCAGCAGTTTAAATCCTCTCACTGTCTCCTCTCGTGGAATTAACTGCCTCTGAAAACCCACTGGAGGGTCAGCTATGGGTCAGTTCATATTTGATGGCACACAACAGCCACAACCCCCTCATAGCCTCTGGTGCTCTGCACCCCTTTTCTGTCGGTGAGCGGCCAGTGCCTCTCCTGAATGTACTGGCTCTCTTTACGCTTTCACTAATAATAAACTGGCTTTATTTTCACTGTCGCTCCTGCCTCCCACCTTCTTTGCCAGCAAGTCACATGTCCCTGATGTTGGAGACCACACTGACTCAGTGCGACAAGGGTTTGGCCCACAGTCGGATTACCTCAAGCAAGTCAAGACAGTGGCTCTTCTAAGAGCTGCAGAGATGACCATTTGCTATAGTTTCTGAGGTGCTGGCTTCGCCATCCCCGGCCTTTCTGGCTAGTTCAGGTCGCTGATCAGGTGAGATGGAAGCCATGGCACTGGGCACAGGCAACAGGAAGGAGGCCTCAGCCTAGGCGGCAGCAGCTTGCTGCCCAGCATGCGGGAGGCCACCACCCATTCTGCCTGGGACTTCTGAATGGCCTGGAGCTAGCAGTGGGGGCTTCAGCAGAGCCCAGGTCAGGTGGGCAGTGGGGCCGATGATGGCTGTCCAACATCAGGTGATAATGTCATCGTCTGCATCCTTGTTCAGGAGGCATGTCACAGCAGCAGTCCTGGGGGCAATGGTGGGCCTGCCACAGGTGATAACGTCATCGTCCACGGCTGCAGGGCATGGGGTGGAGTCAGTGCCCTGTGGACATCCTGGGCTCTGGGCAGGCACTGGCTCCAGTGGGCAGGATGCTGTGGGGGCCCTAAACACTCGGGCAGGGAACGCTGTCCCCTGGGACAATGTGATCTGGACGCCGGGCATTCCTTCCGGATCCAACTCTTCACTGTTGGCCGAGCCAGTTGAAGGCTGTGGACAGGGCAAGTCAAGAGCCAGCAGTTACCTGCCCCTGCTCACACTCCTGCCACTCCTTCAGGGTCTGACAAGTGTGGAACCCTGAAATCTCCAGCTGGATCCCCACTCTGTGGACATGGCTACTGAATGCCAGGTAATGCGGCTGCCTTGACTTTCTCACCTGTGAAATGGTCATCTCCTGGCTGCCCATGGTCCCCAGGAGAGGCATGGGCGTGAGGGGCGTGGTCTGGGGCTTTGGCGGTAGGGGCGTGGCTAGGAGGGATTGGCCACCTGAGGACAAGTTGAAGGTGTGGATGGCACCTCTCTGCTGGAATCAGAAATAAAGACAAACGCGTGCCTCCCTCCACTCCCTTCAACATAACTCCATCCCCTCACCTCCTGGGGCCCAGAGAGGTGTTCCGGCGGCTGCCAGAGGGACAAGCAGGGGTCTTGGGGGCCAGAAAGTACAGGATAGCAGTGAGAAGATCCTGCAGGCGTGGAGTCCCAGCCCTCAGCCTGACCCCCGAGTCCCTGAAAAGCGCAGCAGCAAGCTGGCCCTCTGGGTTCCAAAGGCAGGTGCTGGCTGGGGCTCCTCTGAGATGAGCCGGGTGGGCACACTTCCCATCTCTCTGCAAGTTCTGGGGGTGTTGAGTCCTCTATCTCCATGTGCCTGTCTCCCGTGTATCCCCTCTGCCCCTTGCCCCCAGATCGACAGCCCATGCTGCAGTTCAGGGTGACCCATGTCCAGTCTTGCGATCACATACGGTCTCATCTAAGGACAAGTGGCTCTGCCCACCAGAGACTGCAGGAAATGTACCACCTCCCAGAGTGGACAGGGAGCTGAGCCCAGGGCCACTCAGTGATGGACAAACAACCGAGGCCAGCCCATCCCCACCTGGTGCCCACCTGCCTGCTGTGCACAGGGAAGGGCAGGCACTTGCCACGTGCCCTGGGCTCCTGAAGACAGTGAGGTGACCCAGTCACCCCTTTCTTGTCCACTTCTTCTCATGGTGATCCTGTGTGCACAGAGAAAAACTGCCCACAAACTTTCCCAGACTCGGGCTTGTCTTCTGAGGACCTCTGGATGGGCTTGAACCTCCAACCTTGCAGCTAGTAGTTGACGCTTATCATCTGAGCCTCCCAGAGCAGCCTCTTCTGTTGACTCTTAAAGCCTGTTTTGTTTTCTTTTTGCTTCAGTCAAAGACAGGCACTGCATCGCTTCTCCTAGCACCTGGTCTTGGCATGGTCCGACAGCATTTGGAGAGGGTCCAGCCAGGGAGCCTGTCTCTGGGCCTGTGGCCTCTGCCAGCGAGCTCCTTCTCCAGGGAGTCCCTGTCCACTGATGTGCCCCTCCCTCTACCCCAGGATCTGCAATGAGTGCTGTGCACCTCACAGCTGTGTCACCGGCTTCAGGTTTAGTAACAGATGTAAAGATGGCATATCAGTGTCCTGGGATCACTGTTAAAAACCCAGGATGTGACATGACATGTGTCTCATCTCATGGGCTTCAAGTATCTTCTGTCTCGACTCTGACCCTTCTCCTCAATCATTTGTTACCCAGAGAGAAACAGTTGATGAATATTGAGAGATGTTCATGGAAAGGAGATGCCTTCACTGTATGGAGAGATTTAGTGAAACAGTGGTAAAGTGCTTGACTGTTGCCTGGTGACCAAAAGTTATGGAAAGAAATTCGAAAGGATCACACACCACCAAAGGGCAGCCAATGCCTTGTGCAGGACACTGTGCCTGGGTTAACACAGCATCAGAAAATAACCCTTACCTTCCAGGAGTTAAGAATTTAATGAATCCTTAACTTGCCATTACCTAATCAGAAATTATTTCAATCTCATTACATTCATTTGCTACAGATGCTTACATTTGAGTCCCCAGGAGAATATGTGTAAAAGAGTGAAGAAAATGCTTCAATATATTTTTCTAATCTCTAGCTCTAACGAATCCTATAATCTCCACCCACATTAGCCCTCCCCTCAGCAGAAAACTTCTTGTTTTCTCCTAAGAAATGTGTAATAAATCACAATGAATCAGGTTTTTTTCATGCTCAGCCAACCACTTACAAGATGCCCTAAGTTCTGATCAATTATGTGGTCAATGCAACAACTCCAGTCTTTTGCACATGGTTACACTCAACTACCTTCACGTCCAAGTTTCCTCAGCATCCACACCTAGCAAAACTTCTCTTGATTGCATGAAAATCAGGCATGAGGCAGATGAGATGCCAGCAAGAAGATTCCTCACGCTGACTTTTCACACTCCCAAAGAGGAAAGCTGGTCTGGGATCCAGAACAAGAAAGTACAGTCATGCCCTGTGTTCCCCTTTGCTGATGGTCCTCTTGTCATGAAGGAGCATGCAATTGCTCTAATTCTTCCTTGAGATGCCGTTTGCCTCTCCCAACACGTCAGGATCAAAGGATGAAATTCATGCATGCAAGTGTTGAGGGTCTTCATTTCATAGGGTCGTTATGAGTCACCTACGACTCAATGGCACTTAACAACAACAACAGATCAAAAGGATAACCCTACAAAGAGGAATGAAGATAGAAATTGAGAGGGTCATAAGTTGGACTTCTGAGTGCTGACAATGTATTTCCTGATCCAGGTGATGATTGTACAAATGAGTTCTCTCTATGGAAATTCAACAAGCTGCATATTTATGATTCACAGGTTTTAATGTTATATGTTATTGTTAATAAAAAAAAAACAACTTGAAGATAATCAAGACAAGAAGGTGTCCATATAATGGAAAATAAATCCTTTACCTATTAAAAACAAACAAACCAGGATGTCCACTTGATGGCTCTGAGCCATGGCATTTCCGGTTGTCTCACATGCCCATGAGAACTAGACCATGAATAAGGAAGACCAAGGAAGAGCCGATGCCGTTGAAGCATGCTGCTGATGTAATGTACTGAGTATCCACGGACTGCACAGATCGCCTTGGAGGAGGTAGAGCCCGGTGCTTCGTAGACGCGAGGATGGTGAGCCCGCCTCTCACCTGCATGGGGCACATGTGCTGGGAAGGTGGAACATCAGCAGAGCGGTTACAGCAGTGGGCTCCAGGTGGCAGAGGCCGGAGGTGCAGGGTCACTGTGAGGGGCCATATGTCCACCTGGGAGAGTCCAGAGTCACAAGAACGAAAGTTCATGACAGGGAAGCTAAAGCAGGAGTAGATTCTCTCCATGCTGGGTCAGACTCCAAACACCAGGGGCATGCTCCCTCAGAGGCTCCAAGGAGGCCTGTCTTTGCCTCTCCACCCCTGGGCTGGCCTGCCTGGCCTCAGCTTGGCCTCCAGGCTCAGCTTGGGCCTGTCCCACTGTCCTCAGCACAGGCAAGGATTCTGCCCATC